ATCCTCACACGTGAAAGATAAAAATAGTATCTTCACTGCGCGCGGTGAAGATATGATTTTTTAGTAAAAGGAGAAATCCTGGTATTTCATCAGTATCTATATAATAAAAGAAGTTACCTCACGGATAATCTTTTGGTCAACTTAGTTGATATTACCAAATCATCGCAGGGCTTATTTGTTATAGATTTGCTTCCATGTCGAAGATGTGTGGTTTTACCCCAGGATTTGAATTAGTTGCCTTTCCCAAAATTAAAATGTAAGTGAGGTTGAGTCAGTGATGTTCATGTTTAGAATTAAGTTTGTTGCAGTAATTGCATTTGAATTACGTTCTTTTCGTCCAAAAGTCTTTTCGTCAAAGTCTTTTTGTCCAAAAGTTTTTTCATTTAAGTCTGTGCGTCTAATTGTTGTCTTTTCTCGAAGCAAACAAATAACTTTTAGAAGGCTAGATAAGGCTATATAAATAATTTATTAGTGCGAGCCGTTGCCATTTTGGTTCCGATAGCTTTAGTCACCAATCTTTGTTTACGAATTCACGTCGTGAATTACGATTGATACACAGAGACGTTGCTTATTTGGGGCCATTTTTGGCTTAGTTTTATTTCTTTATCACGTTGGACTATGTTGTTGGTTATACCGCACACTTACTGTTACACTCAGTTGTCTATTACGCCTAATAGACGCTTAACAACAAACTTATTATTCAAACAACAAACATATGAAATACATATATATGAACTGCGGTTATGAAACGTATATGTGCACGATCCTTCGCAGTAAAGCACTATTTGAGCAATAGTGAAAATCAGACCTGAAAAAAATTTCAGGCCTGTACGGGATTCGAACCACTGACCTCTGCGATACTAGTGCAGCGCTCTACCAATTGAGCTAACAAGCCAACTGGGAGCAGGCCATCAAATTAATTCGACCTCCCAGTTGGCTTGTTAGCTCAATTGGTAGAGCGCTGCACTAGTATCGCAGAGGTCAGTGGTTCGAGTCCCGTACAGGCCTGAAATTTTTTTCAGGTCTGATTTTCACTATTGCTCAAATAGTGCTTTACTGCGAAGGATCGTTCTCATATACGTCTCATAACCGCAGTTCACACATATGTTTCATATGTTTGTTGTTGTTTGATTTATCATCTACGGGTTTATATCGAATTAATTTGATGGCCTGCTCCCAGTTGGCTTGTTAGCTCAATTGGTAGAGCGCTGCACTAGTATCGCAGAGGTCAGTGGTTCGAATCCCGTACAGGCCTCAATTTTTTTCAGGTCTGATTTCCACTATTGCTCAAATAGTGCTTTACTGCGAAGGATCGTGCACATATATAAACTTATTATTCCCATTTCTTTCGCGCGAAATAATTAAAAGGCAAGTCTTTGTTTTCGTCACTATTTAATAAAATAAATCACGTTACAACTTCATTTAAAACAATGTTATAAGTTTGACGAAAAGACTTCATATTAGACGAATAGACTTAGAAAAGACCCTTGGACGATAATATCGGATACCTTTCATTTTGACAACAATAATGTCTTGTGAGAACCCGTCAAAGGTGTGATACCAACAAATTCGCCTTCACAGAATCATTTCCACTTCGAAAGAGTGAACAGTAATGTTTAGTTATGTTGGCATGTTTTCAAGCTTTCTACTAATTCGTTCGAACTGCAGGTAATGGTTTGCCTTACAAAACATGGTGCGGTTTTCCCTTTACGCATCATCTCTTAAACGTAGTGTTATTTTATTTCTATTGTTATTTTATGTCTTGCGTGATGGCCCCCCTTTGCAAGACTAATAAATGTAGACGTAAATTGATGCTCGGGTTTTGATGAACATGCTTGTGATACGGTAACCTTTCTTCTCACGCTGGAAACTGGAGAATCAGTCTCTTTAATCGAGAGTCATCGCAGTTTAATAGAAACGTCCGAGCTGTGTTCGCGTATTGAAACAGTCTTTGGATTGTGCTTACAGCTGAGCTGGTAACCACATCATGACGGTTAGAGCATAAATGTTGTTGTTTACAGTTTTCGAATTGGACAACAAGTTTTTGTTAACAATTCATGAATCCATTTCTGTAACCTGTTTCAGCAGAAAATGCAATTTTCTGTTGAATTCACTGAGTTACAACCTCGGGGTTTCACAAGTGATTATTATCGATATATTCTTATCTGCACCACAAATGAGGCACATTTCAAACTTTTTATACTTCAGAGAACTATGTTTTATTAAATGCTGACAGCATTTGACATTTGACAATTTGGCATAATTGGTTTTGTGTTGATTATTTTGTAGCCCCAAAAGTCATTTTGACTTTGAAGGTACTGAACTTTGATATATTTGATACTCAAGACAGTCGTTGAGGGGCAGGATAGTCTAAAATTGCTTGATATGCAGCCGTATATTTCTTGTAGTCAACATTATTTAAGCAATATTAAAGACTCCCTTCAATGGCTGTATTTTGAAGCATTTATGTACTAAGTTAAATGCTTCTACTTTATTTTGT